TGTAAGCATTTTGTTTGGGATAGTCTGAAACTCGAAATGGGTCACAGAAATTTCCCCTAGAAAACCAGCCTCCTAATCTGAAAAGCACCACTTCATATAAAGCTGGAAATGTCTCAGAGCCAAATTGTTTGCTCCTGTAAATGGTTAGAGCTCCACAGAGGGAGGATATGAAATGGGGCTCTGTTGATTTTCCAGCAGAGCATCTGAAACACTTCCCCCACCCTAGTCAGTTAAAGCAAAATTGAAAGAAAAATAAACCCTGATTAACATGGGAGCTTTTCATTTGATACAAATTGGCATAACTCTACTAGTTATCTGACTTTAGCAGAGTTATTACAGGACTTACCACCAAGAAGATCCAGGCCAGGGTATTTTCATGTGGGTGGGTGAGAACCCGATTGTTCAGCCTTATTCAGGCTGAAAACAAAGAATGTACAACAGAGCTATAGATCAGTTGTGAAATCAGTTCTTTGCAGGGAGAGAGGCTAAAGAGGCTCAGTTCTTCCAAAATTAGCAACTGCCAGCATGGTGTGTACCTCAGGTCAAATAATAAGTGACCACGATGCTGCCCAACACCTCCCCATCTATATCATAGCTGCATCCAGCCCCTGGTGGCTTTTATTGCCTGACTAAACTTGAAAATCCAGGAGTGTTAAAAAGGAATAATATCTGAATAAAATAGCTTGGCAGGATGTCTTTAACATTACCTAAAAATCAGAAATTAATAAATAGGTAAATTTAGCTGTAGCTTCTCTTAAGTAGTTTAAACATAAGTCAATAGTTTTGTCTTTTGTTGTCTCAGGGTTTCTACAGGAGCACACAGAATTTCATCAGCGATCTTTCACACTTCATAGCATTATACCTTTTTACTGTTATCTGGCTCTACCCTTATCTGGTGTGTTATCAGCTGTATGAAAATAACTATCAGTGCCTTCACGCCACAGCAAGTATCAATAGGAAGAATGACAGTGGCTAGTTTGCACACTTGAAATGGTTTATTTGTTGCAGTTCTGTGCACAAGATGTTTATCAGTAAGCACCAGACAGCCATGCAGAAGAAGGAGCCTTAATTCTGTCTGAGACAGCCTCTTATTGCTATTGATAGTTAGCATCAGTGTCCAGTCTGAGAAATGGAAGTGCTGCAGGCAACTTCAGTCAAGACACCCTATTGATCTACTGCTTCCTTTGCGTCCCTGAAGCTAGAGAAGAAAAATAAAAAGGGGAGGTAAAGCTGGCTGTATAAGGGGCAATGCAGCAGTCTATGACTTACCATCATTCAAAAGGGGTGTGTATGTGCATGGATATTCCTGATACTCAGTACCTCAGACAACTGTAAATCACACACACAGCCGTGATAAATATAAATGTCAATGTGTTGGAAATGTCCTTTATATAAGGGGTGTCACTAGAACTACATTTTTAGCATGAAACATTTTTGCTGCTTTTTATTTTTCATTGACTTACTGTGCTTCTGTTATATCCTGTCTAACACAATCAATCTAAAGCATAATATCTGAGAGTCCTATTCATAAATAATACATATTTGGGTCATTTTCATTTGTGTTCTACAATGAAGATTTACAAGCCAGAAACAAAACAAGAAACAATGTGTGGAATGCTCTTATTCAGTGAATAAGAATATATTACTGTGATCAATTAATCTGCTTTTCTCTGCATTAAGTGGACATCTTTATGGTACATCCATAAGGGTTTATAACTTAGGAGAGACAGAATCAGCTCTAAGGCTCTAACATAAAACGCCTGTACTCAGAAAAGACAAACTTCTCTAAAGTTGGTTTTGTTTTGTTTTGTTTTTTTTTTTCCAATGGGAAATGTGCTAATTTTGGCAAACCCAACTATAGCAATAACACTTCTATCAACATAGTATGTTGCTCTGTGCCATATACTATCTCTCATGTTAAGTGAAACATAAAAAACATGACTACATTTTACCATAGCTAAAAGTCAAAATAATAATTCTGGTGATTTCTATAGTGTCATTCATCCAAAGATTGTCACATTCCACTACAAATAATGCAAATTCATTCTATAGGAGGGCAAACTGTCACACAGAAAGAATCACAGCTCAAGTTTTTTCAGCTAAAAGTTATTAGGCAAAATTAATTAAAAAAAAAATCCGAGTATAAATTACAGGAGCAAATCATAACAAGAAAGGTGAAAGAAAGACTTAAATTGGTCTTAAATGGTTAGTATACACATACCTGATATGAGAAACTACAGTCACCCATGCAGCACCAGTAGAACTGGTATTCTGATGACGGGTGATGTCAGAAGAGCAGCAGTAATGGCCCAGATATTTATAAATCTTGCCTGCACGGAAGGAGCGAAAGTTAGGGCTTGGTGAGTAAAAATCAGTCAGTGTTAACTTAGGAAGGAAAGTCAGAATACACAGGGACTTTGCAGGCAATACAAACCAGTGAGAAAAAGCCGGGGTGAATGGTGGGACGAGGACAAAGCTGGCCACTGTGGTGGTTCCCCTGCTTTCCTCAAGCACTGGGAGAGGCAGGCTGTGCTATGCTCAGTGCTTTGGGCTGTGGACCTCCAAGTAGGTTATTGTATTAGTTTTTCAACTCTGGAAATTTGCTACAAGCTCATCTCAGATGAAAACTGAAATGAGTTTTGCAACTATGGCAAAAAAGCAATTTTATATTTCATAGGCCTTTTAAAATCTTTTTCAATAGAAAATAAAAATAACAGTAAGGAACAACAACAACAAAAAAGGCTACATTTCTATTCCTGTTTTTATAGTTTGACGTTGCAGATGTTTCTGGGTCAGAGGTGAACATGTCTCTAGGTGTCAAAAGATGCAATAACCTGAGTCAAAAATGGCCCAGTCCCCAGAACCATGACTGTGTGCCAGAATATCTCCACCTCAGAAGCTTGCTGGCAGCAATGTGCTCCAGGTGTCTTACACTGCACAGTCCTGGTAGTCATTTTAATATTTTCCATGCTCATGTAAATGGACTTGATGTGTGTTCATCAAATGTGGGAAAATCCCACGGAATTGTATGCCATCTGTTTATAGGTAAAAGGCCTGCTTTGCTGACAATTTAGTGCAAAGTCAGGAAACAGAATGAAAGCAAGCCCACTTTTGTTTTGTTCTGTTTTGGCTTTATAAATCTGAGGCTTAACATCATATCAAAACCCTAACAAAGTTCAAAGGTTCATTCTGTTTGGATAGCAGTGCTTTTCAGATATATGAATATTACCTGAGCCCCATAGAGCTCTTAAATCTGCACCATGTGGCTACACTCCAGTGAAACCCTGAGCACACAGCATTCAGCAGGACACGGTGAGGGTTCAAGGGCCACATTTTGGGTAATTTGTTGTTTGCATTGATGCTCTGGATCAGAACCCTATATAAAATACTAGCTGACAGTGTTTCAACACTTCTGGTTGGCCTCAAGTAAGATACTCAAGCCAAAACAAAACCTAAACTCATTTAGAAAAAGCATCACCTTATTTTATTTGCTCTTTTGTAAGAATTAAAGGCAAATTTAATTCAATTAATATAGTAGATGTCAATCAAAGTGTCCATCTTTATTGTTTTGGTCTCTTAAACAAGATTGGCAGAGAAAAGGAAGGCTGTGGTCGCAATGATTTTCAGCGTCAAAATTGTATTTTTCTACAGCACACTGATAACCAGACCAGGAAATTTACGCCTGAGTATGAGTCAGATGTTTTCAGAAGTTGATAACAAAGACTGTTTCAAAACCATATTATTATTATATTCCATCAGGGAGTGAGATCTTGTCTTGGGTGAAGAAGAGTTAACATAGCTGGCATTAGCCAGCAGGGGAGGAGAACATCAGAAGAAAACAAACTGACAAAGCTAATCAAATCCAGACATATGCAATCTAAAATCTCAAATGGGATTCAAGGTAAGCTAAAAGGATACTGCAGCATCAAATGCTGTTAAACATTCAATGTAACCTGAAGAGAATACAGAACAAAATCTCTGTAGAGGCATACACCAGATGCTCAGCAAGGTAGGTCATTGACATCAGCTCTACTGCTTTACATGGGCTTAACCCTGCCCCTAATGGCCTAAAGTAGATATTTTAACCTTGCCACCAGCATTGTACTGGGGTTTAAAAGTTGAGAAAAAGAGTGTGAAAGTGCCTATGGTCAGTTAATTGGGAAAACAACCAGTTCCCCACAGTATAATCTACCCCATTTGGCAAAAGAGACATGTTTTATGTTTCAATCAGAAAAGTGCAAATCCTCCAGTAATGTGGCGGAGACGTTTACTTTGAAAATTAAGAATCTTATTTCCAAGGTCAATCTGAGGCTTCCTGGGTTCATACTAAAATACTTCGTGGGGCCAAAGAAATATTTACTGGGTTCTAGGGAGCAGGAAGTGGATGTGCAGTTTGAACATATTTCAAGTCAGCCTGGGAGGTCTTTCTGGTTTTATGTATCTGTGTCTCCTCAGACAACCTTCTATTATTTTTTTTTCCTGAGAAATTGGAAGTGAAGAAAATGATGACATTTTTGCCAGTACATTTCAGTTGGGCCATTTCCTGCACTGAACCAAAGAACCTGAATTATTGTCTTCCTTGCCAGAATGCATCCCTTTCCAGTGCATCCCATGAAACTATATGGTCAAATTTTGCCCAAGAGCTGCCATTTCTCCTGTTTTAAACTAGAAGGAGTTTCTTTATGAAGCAACGGTTTGCTTTATGTGACCTTTGACAATGAGAGTATTGGGAGAATGACATTAGATGTTGTAGAGCTTATGCTAGATGGAGCTTCTTAGGCAGTCGTAAATTAAACAGCAGCATTTTACAAAAGAGCTCCATAAAGAGTAGGTGATTGGAAGATGCTGCAGGTTAACATCTGAATAGAGAAACTACCACCTAGCCCAGGAATGACAGTAACAGATTAAAAGAAATATTCAATAATATCTATCATATTTTAAAAAGAGAGAACTCCTTACCTGCCAAAGGAGCTTGGGAGAATTAATCTGTCTGTGTCAAAAAGACTGAGAACAAGTGAAACAGGATGATAATGATTGCCAGGATCTTACTTGCCTGGAGAGATAATATTGGACAACCAGTTTAACAAGGCAGGTGCCAAAAATCCTCTTGCAGATGCTATGGAGAAGCTTTCAAATACAAGAATGTACAAGGACCCGCATCATCTTGTCCTCTATATTTTCTGAGTTGCTCATTAAACCAGGGAAACCTCCAGCGAGGTGTGATGACCTGAAAACAGACAGGAGGTAAAGAATCAATGTTTTAAGTAAACCAGCAATTATAAAAAGATCTACAGCTTCTTCCATTGTAATCAGGTATATCACCAGGAGTGGCATAAAGCACCTAAATTGGAGAAAGAGCAGAGGAAGGGGAAGTGGGGGGGGGAAAGAAGTTCCCTTGGGAGATAACCAATAGGATGCTTAGTCTGTGTAGAGGGCAAAAGGTTAAGTGAAAATGAGATGAAGGAATGATCAGACATAGTCAGATCAGAGGCAGTTAAATAAAGGAATGTACTAACCTAAGATAAATGTGAAGAAGCATGTCTGTGCTGAGTGTGTTGGTGTAGCAGTTCAGAACCTGAGAGGAGGAAATCCCTGTTCCCAGTCCATATCAGTCGTAGCTGAAGCACTTCCCAGCAAAGAAACAGAAGGGCTAACGGCTTCCTCTCTGCTACTCCAATAGTGTAAAAGGACATTAAAATGCTTCTAATTACATCTACGCCTTTTGCAGGTCCCTATTTACTGCTGGTGTGATAGAAATCATTCTTAGTGGTGAGAAAGGAAGCTAGGCCTGTGCTTCCTTTGTCTGTGGTATTGAACAATGACACCGTTTAAAGAGTATGGACACAGAAGTACTGGTAAGTACTCAAAAGCTACAAGTGCTAGTTGCTGCCACTTTTTATGAGTCAAAAAGCATGGGTTTCCATAACAATAAACAGCATTAGGTTTAAAGATGTGCATAATATAGCAAATAAATGCTTCAGACAGTCTATGTAAAACTTCATTAAATATTTTGTTAAATCTCCATTCTTAGCCTTCTCAACAAAAATAGCCTGGGTAACTGACAGCACCAGAAAAGGTCAAGTATCTCTACTGACCAGGTCTGGAAAGGACCACAAAAATTTTGTCCAAAAGCCTTTGGTGGTTTACAGCCTTTAAACATATCTAAGAATGGCCTTAGATTTCTAAACCCCAAGATGAAAGTTCAAATTCTTAGACCTCTTAATTTAGAGGTTAGTATTTTTTCTGCTTCCTCAGGAGATTATTTAACATACAGACATAATATTTAACATATTTAGCATATTTAACAATTAGAACTGGGAATTACAAAGTTGGAGCTGGAGTACCCAAACTGGATTTTTGAAAAGAAATTTTTGTGCTCTCAACAATTTTGGTGTTACAACAATTTGAGGAGAGAAGTTGGTGTGTGTTCTTTTCAGAGTTTGATTAGTCACAGAACTCATTAAGTCTAGCTGAACTTATCTTTAAGACTAACACAGATCCCACATATATTTATGTCAACTCTAAGCTACAATGAAAGAAGTGTGAGTCTGTAAATGAGGAGTTTCAAATGAAAGAGGTGGTTGAAGCATTTTGACCTTATTCAATGAAGGTCAGTTTTCCTTGAATTATACCTGTTTCTGTGTCTAGCATTTCAGTTACCTTCCAAGTGTCTATCAACAGTTTGTAAGTGGCATTCAACAATGAAGAAGAAAGCAAGCTGCTCACAAAACTCCCCTCTTATGCATGCGATAAAAAATAGAGTTCCACAGGAAGAGACAAAAGAGCGTTTGGGTCTCAGTCATCTGTGCCTATGGGAAAGGAGTGGTGAAGAGAGGCCAACAGCTCCGGGAAACAGGGGTAGGAGGGGTGAGTACAAATCAGCTTTATGAGCTAGCAAATGATGGATGGCTAAATGCCAGCTGGGAGCATTGCATACAATTGAGTTTGCATTGTTGCGATTATTAAAGGTTATTTTACTTTTAATTTTTTGTGGTAGGTGTTCTTACTCCTTCCTTACAGAAACCCTTGATTTTCACTTGCTAGATACTCAGATGCACTTGTCACATCCAAAAGGTGATTTTGGTTCTCAGATGCCAGGAAACCTTTCGACTGATCAAAACACAGCTGCACAGGCTTGCTTGATCTATTAATGGGTGCCACAAGTCTGGGGTATGTCTGTCTATACCTGTGAAAATAGATATAATTAATATAACAGATATCATAAGTATATGCAAATCCAGGTGGTAAAAAATGACTTATAGTAAGACAAGGTTTTCAGTTGCCAAACCAAATCAAGATATCAGAATCACTTAATCAAGCATATACAATGTGCACTCAGACTGCTGCTGTTGCAGGGACATCAGCAATCTCTTAATCTATTTTATTTTACATTAAGCTTGCTTTTTTAATGAAAAATCTTAAGAGACACAGTTTTTTTTTTAAACATACTTCCAGGCTGTTACCTTTCCACAGCCTTTAAAATGCTTTTTCCATTATTTCTCACAAGTTGCTTGGACTTAAGAAGTCAGACTGTAGGACTACATGAGTTGCTGTTTAATGGACACTGATCTTAGGTATTAAAACAATAAATGAGCAACTTTCTGTTTCATATAAAATGCTTTCCGTGTAAGAGAACAGAATGTTTTCTTATGGGTAATCTTTTTATCCATTACAGAAATACATACCGCTCCTTTTACTAACAAATAACAGAGAGTGGCAATATCTTCAGTATGCTTGATTATATTAATACATTTTATATTACGATTTTATCTTCTTCACTCTGACATTTATTTCTACTTTAATGAGACAAAATGCCTGTCCAGGAGCTCTTGACTTTAAGTGCATTCTTAACATCAGCATATTAGCTGTCACATTCAGGCTAATAGGCTTAACTTCCCTGTTTGGGATCTTTGTTAAACAAGACCCAGCCCCCCTGATTTTAAAAAATTGATGTAAACTTTCACTTTAGTGGCACTGGAAAGACAATAATGCTGCTTCATCATCATCATCATATGAACACTCGTTATTATTGTTTGCTCCCAAATATCTTTATTTGACTCTTCTTGCAATAAAAGATATTGAACAAAAAGTAGATTAAGAGAGATTTTGAAGTCTTGATTTGCAGCAGTTCATTCTGAACCCTTCATTTTATTCAGTTTCGTACCATGAGGGCAAATGATTGTAGCTTTCATCATGAGCTCAAGCATTACATTTTAGCACACTGATCTTAAGTGCATGCAGATGAGTGTAACATCCTTTTTTTTTTTTTTTTTTTAAGACTATTACAAGGCCCACTGTAAGCATATTAATGGCATTTTTTCATAACCATGGGTAATTCTGAGCAATGTTTCAAGGGACTTCTGGTTCCTCTCAATCTAGATGAAGCAATTGCAGGTTTTGAATATTTTTTCAATTCTGACTCTTAAATCACATTAGCATGTATTGCATTATCAGTGCAAGGGAAATCATAAACGAAAATATGCAGCTGATGTGATCTGGTTTTAAGAACAATTTAGAATCAGATTCCTCATTAATTATGTCTATTTTAATGGAAGGAGACAAAACCATTTACATGGCATTTAGACAAGAGTCCCATCCTTTTCTTCCCTCTTAATCCAAAACAACTCTGTGGGATTTTGAGTTTTTGTAAAAATCAAAACAAAACAAAACAACCCAAACCCAAACCCAATGGTGACAGATTTTCTGTATATACCTTATTTTTTTATTTACTTTTTTTTTTTCTCACTAGAAGGAAGTTGAAATACAGTGGTTAAAATTCCCTGTGGATTTGATCTTTGCTCATTGTTGACCAAAGGGCTGTTTCTACCTTTCTCGGTGACATGGAGTGTGTCTCAGTGGGTCAGAGGTACCAGTGTCAGAGAAACTGAATGCACTCTTGAGGAGTGTTTCTGTATTCAAGCTGCCTTTCAGTGGTTATGGTATTTCTGACTTCTTACTCTTTTCTTGTGAAACTGGGAGATAGTGGTTGTTTGCTTCCTTGTTTGCATGTATGAGGAAGTGAGAGAAAAAAAAAGATAAATTCCATCTGCCTGGTTGATTTGGCATTTTCAGCTCAGTTTCTCACTTTCTCCTGAGGAATACTCCAGGTCTTCTCACTAATATACACTGCTTAAGTGCTGGACATATGCTACAATAACAACAATTACAAATTATTAGCCTAGTGGGGTGAACGAATAACACCAATTAGTTATGGTGATGATGTTTCCATGACAAACTCTGGCCTTATGGAGTTGTTCATTTTTAAGCCTAAAAGCTTTCTGATATCTTTTGTCAGGCAACAGTATGACTTGACCACCTCAGTTATTAAATCTCTTCACTGATGCACACAGTCATGGACTGTGTGCCTACTTCAGCCAAAATTTCAATCAACACCTAGTGCAGAACTAAGTTTAGGCTTAACTGTAAAGACTTAGTCATAATAACTCAGATTTCCTGATGAATACTTATTAAATAATTTCATTGCCTATTTCCTGAGGAAACTCTAAAAGAGATGTTGGTGTGCACATGTACTTGGTTACATACTGTCAAATCAAACCCTGGTTCAGAATAACTCCAGGCTCATTAGCCTCAGTCATCAAATACAGCAGACCTCCTGACATGTCTAAACTTAAGCTTAAGTAACATTCAGAATAAAAACATTTTATTGAGCTGAGAGTTAAATTGAGACATGCTTTTGTCCAGCCACAGAGGACAATGCTTCTTGCTGAAGGAATATGTAGGTATGTGCAAAAGACTAAAATATTTGGTGTCATAACATTACTGCTAGAACTGAGTATCTATGAACATAATTCTCAATCTGTTAACATTAAGCTGTTCCTCCCAGCACTCTAATAAGTATTACAGTAACACTGAACAGCATAAGATTAGTGTGATTTTAAAAAAGCTTTACATGTGCTTAAAATTTAAACCGTATCGCACCAGAGACACCAGTAATTTTGAAGGCTCTTTATGCTTCTCACCCTTCCTTTGCTAACACCAACAGTTCAGTGAACAAACCAACATTTTAATCTTTTTTTTTTCTTTTTTTCTTCCTCTCTCCACCACATCTTGACTGTAGAGAGAATGCAATTACATAATCATGCAGCAGATCATCAGTAAACTTTTCAGGTCTGCTGAAACAAAATCCAGAGGTCCACGTGTTCACTGAAATAAACAGGTATCAATGAGTTTAGGATGATTCACGTTGTCTGCGCCATGTTCTGTCAGAAGGGATAGATGCTCTTCATCCACTCTGGTATAAAAATCAGACACATCAGTATAAAATCTGGACTTACCCCACAATTTACTGCCACATTTTCCATTCTGCAGCTGACCTGTTATAACCCATCACTTGCAGACAAGGAAAGGAAGCAGAAGGCAGTAATGATCCAGAAGTCTTCCAGACCTTGTGAGCTGTGTTTCCACAGTCAGAAATTTTCAGGGAGAGACAGATAAGTGTTTTGTTAAATTAGGGACTTAAAAAAGGAAAACGACTGGGGAAGTCACAAGTCGAAAGGACGGTGACTGCTTTTGTAAAACTCCTAACTGGATCACCAAACACAATCACCAAGTGCCCAGCATTCTTTACTGGATGTTAACTCACCAAGATGTTTCTCCACACACATTTAATACTTCTTGTAACCCATGTTTTTTTTTCAAAGAGCACCCTTCACAGTCATTAGCACACTTGGTAAGAGTTGGAGGCCTGGCTGCAAAAAAGCACTTTCACAGTGTTGTACAGTTGTTCTTCCTCCCTAATGTCTCTGTAATAGGCAGTTCAGCGCAGCCACTAGAGCTTACACTTATCTCATTTTCTTGCCCACTGATGTTTATGTAACAGTGATGTCACTGCTAGATTATGTCAGTCAGTAACATCTTGGAAACAGGAGGAAAAGAGACAGACTTGAAATGCTCAAATGAATTAATAACAATATGAATATTCGTATTGCCTTTTGACAAGAGGTTATAGTAGTTCAGAAATGAAGAGAGGGTCTTAAAGCTTCGTTGATTTGGCACCTCAGTGGAGTTAGTGCCTTGGAGCATTAAAAAAAAGGAATCAGACTGATAACTTTTACTAAAGTAATGAGAGGTAGGTCTGACAATAGAATCCTGTATGTACTTCAGCAAGTCAAAATCTTATCTAGTTGGTGCATACTGTATAAAATACCATTTTTTTAAAGCTTTTGGTTTGTTTTCATTCTCAAATTTCCAAATATTTGACAAGTTCCTAAACCTGCTGTAAAAATACCCAAGTCACAAGACAGCCAGATAAAAATCTGTTCATCGTAAAAAGGGAAGGGTGTAGGGTGGGGAAGGAAAGGTTTGTTGGTAAGCTTGCTACACTACTAAAACGTGTAGCCACAGCCTGGAGCTAAAATCAGCATTCATGTGAAGTTCCTGTTTATTACAGTATATGAAGTATATTCAGCAAAACTGTATCTTGTTTTTGAAGGAGATGCACCCTAGTAATCAACATGTAAGACTGGAGAAATACAAGTGATAAAACCAGTCCAAAACTATGCTTTGTCCCCTTTGGAGTTTCTCGACAACATATTCTTAATTGAAATAAGCAATAATATAGGAGAAAAAGGATGAGGAGAAACCACAAAGGCTTTTATCAAGATGAATCCAGGCCCACCCTGACTTGTCTAAATCTATATAAAGAAAATGGTCTGCAAGTCACTCTGAAAGTGATGGGAGCCCATGCTTCAAACACGTGTCTTGAAAGAATGTCAGAAATCTTGTTCCTCTTTTGGCTGCGGTTACAGATGCTTTCTCCAGACAGTGGCCTCACTAGTTTCAATTGTCTGGAGTACTCAAAAATACATTTTCCCCTGGAAGATGGTCTGCATATGCTTACAATAAACATTAACTAAATCAAACGACTTTCACTTCAGGATAAATACTTTCAAGGAAGTCTGTTAGAGACACTTATAGTAAATTGCAATTAATTAGTTTTTCCAATCTACTTAGGTTGTACTAATAAACACAATCACTTCTAACATACTCAGGTTAAATTCTGCTGCTCCCAATATGCCTGCAAAGGCCCAAGGTAAAATGGAGATATTCTGTTGCAGGAACACATGGAAGGTGCTTTAGGACAGGTGAAGAATCCTGCAGTTCTTCTGTGTCTCTGAGCTCTGCTGGCTAAGAAACAACCTGGAGAAGCTGTCTGCACTCACTGCCAGACAGTAGCCCTGGTGCTTGGGCTGAAGCCGGGCAAATCCTGCAGCTTTCTGGCCACAAAATAGGTAAGTTACATAGCATGAAAACTCCCAGGTCTGCAAAGCCAATGAAACCACATTTTCCTATAACCGCTGCTTCCCCTTTTTACACTTTACCCACTTGTAATAGCCAGTTGTAAATGATACAATAGTATCTCTAGAGTTGGGAACTAGAGATATGGTATATCTAGAGATAATAATATATCTAAAAATGGATTCTAGAGAGTAGAGATTTTCTTATGCTTCTGAGCATAACCCAACACCAAGAGGTCCACAGCCTTGATGGGATGTTTCAGGGCATTAGTGGGAGGACAGCAGTCACAGTAATCCTGTCTGCTCAGCACCTATCTGCTAAGCAAAAAGATAGAAGTGAGAATTAGAATTATGCCTATACCACAATTTGAAAACAGTAATGTTGCCTCCAGCATTTTGAATTTGGTCACTGTAAAATCCCTAGATACAGCAGAACAAAGCTCATGGTAATTTGCTCTCCCAAGTCCTAAATAGTACTGAAATACAATCCAATTATTTTTAGACATTATCTTCTCTATTTTTGTGTAACTTTTCTTAACAACTTTGAATACCTAAAGAAGTACTGCAGCAGACCATGAGGCTTAGACCTAGCTGAGAAACCTGTATACATCCCATAAATCATATGATTCCACAACTCATTAAGTCTAATTTATGGCATATGCAATTAAGCACCTTTGAATTGAACCCAGGTCTCTTGAGATAATAACACTTAGAACTTATATAGGGCTTTTCATCTTCAAAGTGCTTTACAAACATTAACTAATCAACAACATAATAAGACATGAAAGGCCAATGTACTTACCCATAGTGCTGCATAACCTCCGTATAATTCAGATTTTGATGATTTTCAATGCAAGATCCAAGCTGGGTGCACAGACAGGCTTTACTTGTGTTCTCCTTCACAATCAGGAAGCATGACTTTACAAAGGATATACATATCACATATACCTGAATCCCAGAGTATTTTCCTTCTCTGCTATTGCTGAGTCAAAAGAAACAACTCCCAGAAATGAAGGAAAGTATGGAAAAGAGCAGCTCACAGCAGTCTATCAAGAGTGTTTGAGTTTCTGGGACTTTGGAGCCAGAGTAATGCAGGAAGGAGCGCCTGGAGAATTATCTGCACCAGATTTTTGGCACCACCTAAGTCCATATCCTTCCCAAGGTAAATCTAATGATAATTGGGTCAAATTCTTCAAAGTCTCTAGGGACTGACTAAACTGTCAGGGAGAAGACGCTACTTCAGCTCAGATAAATTTTCCTGGTAAAACCTACAATATTTTCTTAGAATCATAGAAAAGTTAGGGTTGTAAAGAACCTTAAGATCATCTAGTTCCAAGCCCCTGCCATGGGCAGGGACAATTCACACTAGACCATGTTGCCCAATGCTCTGTCCAACCTGGCCTTGAACACTGCCAGGCATGGAGCATTTATCACTTCTTTGGGCAACCTGTTCCTGTGCCTCACCACCCTCACAGTAAAGAACTTCATTCTTATATCTAACCTGAACTTCCCCTGTTTAAGTTTAAACTCATCACCCAGTCCCTGATGAAGAGAACCTCTCCAGCATCCTTGTAGTCCCTGTTCAGATACTGGAAGGCTGCTGTGAGGTCTCCACACAGCCTTCTCTTCTCCAACCTGAACAGCCCCAACTTTCTTAGCCTGTCTTCTTGTTTCTCTCTGCTCTTCTGAAAAGAGTGTGAAGTATCTAGGTTTTTTGTTGTTTTTCTTTTTTTTTTGAGTTTTTTACTTTTTTTTTTTTTTTTAATCACTTGGTGTAATTTACACACAAGTCTTTTGAGACAATGTACATTTGCCTTGATATCTATCTCAATGAATGTTTTCTTGGTAACAGCAATGTCGCAGATGTTGTATCAGGTTACTCAAATCCCTCCCGAGCATTACTTATACAGAAAGATGAATGATAAAAGCGGAGCAAATAATATGGGCATTTTTAGTGACCAGTCCTTCAGAAATCAGCCAGTATCAGTGATCAGCCTCATGAGCGCTGAATGTTGACCATTGTCTGTGCATATTCTGTATTTAAGCATCACCTGTCCACCAGCTAAAAAGATAATGAGTATCTTGGCAATATCACTTGTCTCTCTCCAGACAATGTCTGTCTTTGTCTCCTCAGGGATCCTACTGTGCACCAAAAATTGAGTGTTTGGAGACAAGTGGAAAATTATACCTAGCGTGTAAGAGAGAACTCTGCATATGCACCTGTCTAACTCTGCAAATTAAAAAATCTCAGAAAGAAACACAAGTAACTCAGTGGTAGTGGTACAGGTGGAGCCCATGAAAATTAAAGAAAATGAGACATACTGTGGACCAGAAATGACATGTATGTGGAAGCAGTAGGCTTTTGTGCTTCCCCACAGACAAGCAGTTCAGAACAAATCCTGAAAGGTAACAATCTCACAGTAGTAATGTCTGCAAGAGATCCTACAATAAATACGGATTGATGGCTTGGCTTCGCAAGCGAAGATTTGGGAAGGGCTTTACCCACGCTTACTACAAGCATGGTGACCAAGGGCATGTGGGATAGGCAAATCTGTTTGGAAAAAATGCTGCTTAGGCAATCACAAAGTTTCCGACCAGGCCTGTCATCCAAAAGCGTTACATGAAAATGTAGAATAGAACTGTCAAAATGTTTTATCCCTAAACTGTGAATGCTAACCTTCCTATACTTGTTGTATAGCGGTACATTTTAATTTGCCTGGAGCACAGTTGAATAAAGCAAGCATCACAAACACAATCAAATGGATATTTGAAAGTGCTGCTTTTCACAATAACTGTGTGTTTGAGTAAAGCTTCAATTCAATTTGGTGATCAATTGATCACCAAAATCAAAGAATACATTTCCCAAATGAACTTCTACAAAGCACTTAATAGCCCCAGAAAAAAAACACATAAAGCTCCACAGAACAGCAATCTTCTCTAAAATATTTAGAAATGCAACTTTTTACTGCTTTCCTGGTTTATAGCTTAGATCTACACAGATCTAGAGTAAAGAATTATGCACTTCTGATAAATCAGTGGTTTGATTCAGTTTCAGTGTGGCAAATTCAAAGATGGAAAAGAGATTGAAATGCTCCAAAGACATACTTTAAACCTTATGGCAAATCACAGTCTCTCTGGTACAACTGCTCAAATGACTTTTGAACCTTTAATAAACAAAATTATGGCAAAATATAGAAAATGTTCTCTAATTGCAAACCACGAGTGAACATTCTTATTTCATAAAGCACAACTCTAGGTTTGTTTTTTTTTCCTTAGGAATAAGACAGCTCTATTCACATTTATTTTGTTTCCTCACAGCATTGCCTGTCAGAGGAGTACTATATGGTCCTTTTAAAGGCATATAAAGGTGAGATACTTGGCTTGGTTTTGAGCTTGTCTCAGACAGTCCTGTTAAGCTAACCACAGTTCACGAGAGTACTCAAGGGTATTGTCCAGCTTCTCCCCCCATTGGGACAGATACTATAGAGAATGACTAAATATTAACCATATCTACCAGTGTTCTGACCATCTGCCATCTCCAGAGAGTTGCTTTCTGCTGCTGTCATGATGCTGTACTTCCAGGATTTCATTTTTCATAAAAAACGAAATGGGTTTCTCTTTTGGTCAGCTTCGGAGAATAACTGCACACCAAGTACATCTGATTTATATTTACTGACTTTAACCTGAAAAAAAAGATGTAAAAAGGAACAGTAACTTTCAACCTGAAGCATACCTGTTTATTTTATGACCTTCCTTACATTTTATCCTCCTTCTAAAGGCAGGTTTTCTTGTACCACCCCTTGCAGTAGCCTCATCAGTTGTACTCATCATGATAAAACCTGAGCTGAAGTGCAGATTCTGCAATATGCTCCCTCTACTCTATAGAGTAAAATTCAGAGCTGTTCATGAGTAAGTGAGCCCTCAGCACCCCTGCCTTTATTCCCCCATCTCAGTCACAGGCATTTGTCCTGAAGAACATGATGGGAATTTGACCCCATCATGTGACTACTATTCTCATCTGGAAATTTTAAGGGAAAAAACCTGAGCAATCAAAACCAATTTGTTGATTTAAATGAAAAGTTTGCTCAGCAACTTAAAATACCAACTGAAAAGCCTCTACCTTCAAAGCTTCTGACACTTGATACTGACATTCTGATTCTACTGCAATGAAGATATATAGCCCTTAATCTTTCCCACAAGCCACTGCTTCATTAAAAGATAAAAAAAACCAAACCCAGCAACCCACACTGCATTACACTCTCAGTAATTCTTGGTAACAGAGATTACATTGACCTGCAAAATTTTTCCTTTTTCTACACAAATACCTTTCTGGAGCATGCCTCTATGCTGAAAACCTCTTGTTTAAGAAGAGAGAATTCCAGGACTTGCTAAATCTTAAAAAAAGTGGAATATATATTTCCTTATGATAATTAGGCAGTTGACTCTCCACCTGTAGCTTTCATCTCCAAACTGGAAAGGAGGCATGCTTGAAAGATCCTGTCAGGAGAAAAAAAAAAAAAAAAAATAATTAGAACAGGACAGAAATGATGACTGGCCAGAGTAGACAGAGAAGTCAGAAACATGGGAGATCAAGAACTTAAAGGGAAGAGATATTTTCATTTTTCTTACCTTTTTACAGATCATTTCAGCTGAGATGCATTTCACGTAACAAAACAGGATTTATCTCTTACTGCTCTGTGCATTATTTTGAGGAGGACTTTCAGCAATCACACAGACAACACAAGGAACTTTCCATATTCCTCCATATCCTCCGTGTGCCAAGGGATATGTCACAATTTTTGTCTCACTGATATTTACTGTTTCCCCAGACTCTCACCTGGAACACCCATTTTTTTCAGGAGCAGCTGAGTGGGGTAAGGAACATATTGTTCTACTCTGTCCTCCCTTTGCCACTTAATGAGGTAGTGCTGTTACACCCCTGCTGCCCATGGACCTGCCTTCCCCTCCTTCTGATCCTGCACTACTGTAACGTATCATCCTTCAGTTTCTCAGTCAGGAGGAAACAGCAGCAATTCTTTCTCTGGATCTTGTTTTTATATAGGTTTACTAATCACATGAATATCCTTAGTCTTACAACAGGTGATTTAATAGCATTGTTAATCCCATTTTAAACCTACAGAACTGAGACATACAGTAATTGCTTGGACAGGAGGCTAGGCTCAAAACCCAGATTTCCTGTTAAACTCTTC